AATCTAAAATTACCCTACGCACCAAATATCAGCAGCAAGCATGTCACTTCCGTTCAGCAGCGAGCATCATAACTGTTGTCCTAGTGCATACCTGCACTATAATTTCAACTTCAAGCTCCGAAAAGACATAATATGGGAGTTTCCTAGATTCAGGGGTCCAAAAAAAAAAGCATTATCATATTTTAGGGTCTATATTGGGCCCCCCTCTTTTGGGAAACTACCGTATAACTTCCACAGAGAATCAAAGAACTGGCGGTATCCAAACATCTCCCGTTCAACAGGACAAAACCAAGCTCTCTCGGTTGTGGTTGACCCGGAGAGGTTCCAGGAGACATACGAAAATCCCAAGTTGCTAAACCAAGCCCAACCTTACACACCCTAAACCCGAAACCCTTAGAACCTGGAACCATCCAGCCAAGGCACATGAAATCGTTCGATAACAGAAGACAGCCCAACCCTCGAAAGATGCTGAGCCTTGAGCCGCCCGAAGGCAACAGTGTAACAAGCCAAATCATTACAAAATGGCTCCGGATTGAAAAGGTGGGGTTTGGGGGTTCAGGGGTGCAGGGTGAAGGGTTAAGGAATGGAGGGTTTGGTGGTTGAAGGTTTGGTGTCAGGGGTCTGGCTACTTGGGACTATGCGCGATACGGTCTTTTTTGGTGGAGTCCTGCTGTGTTCCTATTTCACCACAATCACTTGGTGAATGCCTTACATGCGATGGTCTGTTAAAAATGGGTCCCATTTGCCATACGGTAGGATTCAGAGCTATGACCGCCAAATGGACAAAGCCCTAACAGAACTACACAAAAATTCCTCAAGAACTCCCCTTTGACACCCACCATAACATCTTACAAAATTCTACCCACAAGTCACCGCTATCTTGCAAAGAAACTTGAATCTGTGGCTGATTGTTGGCTGGTGCGTGAATTTATGAGTCGCAATTACTTCAAATGGGGTTGTCATCAAAATTATGGTTCCTTTCTGGGTGCTATACGTAATAGGGGCCGTGTCACTCTAAAAAGCAGGAAATGAGAAATTCAATTTTGTTGACAACCTACCAAATGCATCTCCAGGCATTGGAAAGTTGTATACAGACGCACCGCCCAGGATATCACCCTAGCGTTAACTCCCCTTACCTCATGGACCAGATTCCTGCAATCCCCTTCTCTAATGGCAATAGCAGACACAAAAGACACCATGATAAACCAAGACTGATACGGTATTAACAACGATCAAAACAGTACCAAGCCACAATGGCAACCTATTGGGAAGTGACGTGTTTCAACTCAGGAAGGAGGAAGACTGCGGCGACCTAAACAAGTAGGGGGAAGCTTTGGGGTACGTGATATCATAAACATACAAGGGTTCTAGGTCGCTGACACAGTCCCACGTCTGCAGGTTTGTGCCGTGCACTGCACATGCCATGGAAGCCGAAAGAATGTGACGGCTACGTGAGACAATTACACACGAGCGTGAACGCCAGCCTGGCAGACTAGTACAGGGATCGCCTGAAAGAAAACATCCCGGTCACAATACCGACGCCAACAGCAAACATCATCTCGGCATCCAGTACTGAAAGGGACCCAGCCTACCTACCGGAACCAGAAACCCTCAACACTATACCTTAGGTGGACCCCCCACCCAGCAATAGTGACTATAGGGGATAATAGGGATTATCTTAGGGTCCTCTTCTATTCCTATTATACCACTATTACAGGGTGGGGGGTCCTCCTAAACTATACCCTCAAACACAAAAAAACCCAAAAGTCCCCAAACATCGGTCTTCTACGCATGATAACTTTTGAGAGCAAAGAAGTCAGCCCACTCACTTCAGTGAGAAGCTTTGCCAGCCAAGGCCAGTGGAGGGTGTGGGGGACAGTTCTCAGGATATAGGGGGTTTAGGGTTTAGGGCTTAGGGTTTAGGGTTTAGGGTTTATAGTTTCCCAAACTAGGGGGACCCAATATAGGCCACAATATGCTACAATCCTTATTATTGGGACCCCTATAAAGGTATCCCTAAATTTGGGAAATCCCCATATGAGCTATAATCTAAACTTCTAGCGCAAATGCCCTATAAACCCTGAAGTATTTAGACTATGTCTCATGCGGGGATACATGGTATTAAGGGCTAAGGGTCAGGTGCGGAAGAAGTCGGTTGGAAATCCAAAAACCTCGTGTTTCTATGTGGCTTATAAGGCTTATCAGATACTTAAAGCCCTCCAAAAGAGCATGCTTTGAATGCTTGAAGGACAAGATGTCACGCTGTCCAACTGTCTCAGCTCCTACTCCCTCAGAAGAAAGACGGACCTTGTTCAAACAATCCATGCCCCCAAGAACATAGAGGCACTATGCCCCCAAGCCCCAAACTCCTGAAGATACAAATAGGATCCCAAACGAGGATCCAGACTTGTGTGTACCAAGGTTGCGCTTGAGGAACTTTCACTAAGTTACCACAACAAAGAAACCACTTCATTATTATAACCTATACATCATATTATAGTATTCTATTCCCTACGAACCACTAATAAGCCATTTCTGGATCGAGAGCTATGGTAACTTGTAAAATCTAAGTTCCTGACGGCAACCTAGCAAGAGCGCAATGGCAACTGCCTTCGGCAAGCCTTCACTGCACGTGTGTGCGTGCGTCAGGAAAAAGGCGACGCCCAACATCCCAGCAGCATGGATTGGCGCCGACTTCAGGGGCCTTTAGGGTTTAGGCTTAAGGGTTTAGGGTTTGGGGGAGAAGTATGCCATAGTTCCATAAGGACGAACAGGGGATAACCTTGGTAACTTTTCAGGTTTTTACATGCATGTTTTGGGAGTGCTGCGTCTTACAAAATTGGACGGTCAAGGCAATTGTTTATGGCCTGTTGTGGTCATAAGTATACTTTCCAAGACTTGCTTAGCCACCCAGCTATTCCTACAAACTTTCAAAGGCAGGCTGGGTCCCTTGAGGAGTAAAGGATTAGGTGGTCCCCAAACCCACATTGGTATAACCGCAAAATGTCGGGACCTTGCAACTGTCATCATCCCTGGTGGTCAATATTACCAGGCTGGACACTTATATGAGCTATCATCTAAACTCCTCGAAGAGGGGTAATATGGGGATTGTATAAAGGACTATTATAAGGGGTCCATTATGGGCATAGTAGGAGCTTAGACCATGGCTCATATAACAACTTATGGTTTGAACACTACACTAGGCGCTTCAGAAATTACACTGGACAAGTATGGATATTAAACGCCAAGTCTGTTCGCGAAATACGCCGATATTAGGACCTAAAAAAACACTACTACTCAAAAACCTAACAAACACCAACCCGCAAAACTCTATGCTCTGGATAATTTCAAGTTCTGGTTCCACAGCTGAGCCGTAGTAAAATTATGATATCAGCTCAGTATTTTGATTGACCACAAGCAACACCACAATTTGTCAACCCTATATCCTAAACCCCAAACCCCAAACCCTAAACCCCAAACCCCAAACCCTAAACCCTAAGCCCTAAACCCTAAGCCCTAAATCCTAAGCCCGAAACCCTAAGCCCTTAATCAAGGAACTTGAAGGAGCCCGGAACATCAAACTCTCGAAGCTCTAGAACCTAAGAACCCTAAACCACCTAGACCCTAACTATTGGGATAGTATAGGGTTCCATGGGGTTATATAGGGATAATGGAAAGGAAAATGGAAACAACCCTAAACCCTGAACCCCAAACCCTAAACCCTAAACCCACTAAGGCCCGGCCCTAACCCGAAGCCCCAAGCCCCTGGCGTTGCTCCTCCATATAGGTTTCATACCCATCGTTTGCCGCGCTTCGCGGCTAGAAAGTGTAGATTTCATTGGCCAGCGCAAGGGATTTGCATGCCGGGTGACGGAAGACAATCACCAAAAAATTGGGGAACTTTGGATGTTTATGCAACCCTCTCAGCACTTCGGCTTCGCGCTTTTTAGGCGTCTCAAGCATCCACATCCAAGAACTGAAGCTGCTGGAAGGCGTGCTTGGATGAGACTGTGTCGGAAATGAAAACACGATACGCAGAG